GGCACCTTCACTGGCTGAGCCATCTCACCAGCCTGGTCCAAAGAATTTTAAACAATAGCTATAGAATCACAATTGTAGTTGAGAAAGATTACTTTGATCACAGATGAGAAAGAACAAAGGGCTAAACAGGCTGGGATAGGAGAACAGGGATTAAAGTGATATTTAGATGATTAGGAGTTCAACCCAGTAGGGTTTAGTGATGACTGATTCATTGTTGGGGATTATAGAAAGAGACACTTCAGTCCCTGCACAGACCCCAGTTTGGTGATTGTGTATGTGAGGACACTTGGAACCCAGAGCGGTATGAGGAGAGTTGCTGGGACCAAGGCTGTGGTCAGCTCTTACAGGTCCAGCCTCCTTCATCCTGGGGGCCCCTCAGCATCTAGGTCAAAATACTTCCTAGGCCAAGAGCTCTGTCATTCTTGTATCTAAGGTCTCCTTTGACCCATCCTTTCTTTTAGAAGTAGTAAAAATATGTCTAATAATATTCCCCTAGTGCCTTTCATATCCTGAGGTTTGTAGAGTTTAAACTCTGTTGGAGGAGGCACTATTGAAAAAGGTAAGGAGGATTCCTAGGATCTTCAACCATTCTCTACCCTTGTAGATGGTTTGTTTGTATTCAAAGTAATTTTATTTTAAGGGATAATATAATGAATTTAGTCAAACACAAGTAAAACGACAAACACAAGCTGGGTATGTAGTTCAGTAGTAGGGCATTTGTCTAGCATGTGGAAGGCCCTGGGTTCATCTCTGACACTGCTAAAACATAGCCTCCAAACTGACAAACATCATTGCACAACAAGCAGTTACTTTCCAAGTCAACGTTCTTCCCGTTGGCAGCACCAGCCACCTTTGCTGGCATCTGACAGAACTATTTTTATGGCTTCAATGTTGCTGGAATTCATTGAAAATTTATTACAGTGACCTAGCTCTATACCTGCCTGTGTCTGTATCGTTGGTATATGACTATTTGAATGAAAGCTAGAATGATTTCTCAAAGGCAAAAGCCTCCAGGATGCTATTTTTGCCATCAGAATCTACTTAAAACAGCTGTAAAACTGAAATGTTTAGACTGTTTTCATTTCAGCATGTTTTACTTTGAATATACTGAATTCTTGGTTCCTTATGTATTGATAACTGTATCAGCTGTAGATTTGTTTCCTTATTCTCTTTATTTATTATTCTCCCTTCTTGGGGCTAGTTTGTATATAGTGAGGCCTTGGGTCATAGTTGATCTCCAGCTTGATTTCCTTTGTACTTTTGTTCATCATAATAAACTAAAGGAGATTGTATGGCTGTCCTCTATAGAGATCTTAATTCAGTGTAATTCAAATATCTTGGGGTAGAGCCATCACAGAGTTGTTAACAGTTCTGCAGGAGAGACTCCAGATGTGTGTATGGCAGCCCTCTAAGTCTGCATGGTAAGGTGCATTCAGGGCTCCCAGGACTGAGAAAGACTCTTCTTACACCCTAGCTGTTGAGGTACAACTGCAGCTGACAGCACTTAGCTGGAGCCCCTTCCTGGACCTACTACTGCTGAGAACAGCCCTCCCCAGGGTGATGCATCACATGACTAACCCACTGGGAAGATAAAGACCAGCCTCTTGCTTCTTTCTGGGGCAGTAGAAAGGGAATGCTAGGTGTGGCATTCCCTGCCTTTGTTGGACAGCCTCACAGCTCTATTGCTTCTGCTAGATCCTGCTTCCACAGTGAGGCTCCCCCAGAGTGTCTCGAAAAATTTCCTGTGTGCACATCTTCTCCATGTAATTCTAAGGAATGTGATCCTCAACAGTGTCTTTTCCCCAAGTTCAGTGTCTGACAGACTGAGAGGAGGTGATGACATTTGCAAAGACTCTAGCCTGGTTTGATCGCAGAGCTGTCTCTATCCACCTGACTTTGGCAGTAGTCAGTGAACCAGGAAGTGCTCTTGATGTCCTCTTTCTGGGAAATGTCAGCAACTCACTTGTTTGAATCCCACTGACCTTATTTCTGAAGAAGTTGATTCTCAAATATAAAAGGTGCTTGGAATGCTTGGAAGTGGTTTGTCTTCAAGGGAAACAAGGAAAACCATGTTGCTGGATGTCTGATAGTGTAATTCTTGAATTACAGAAACTAAATTCAGAAGTTTGTGTTGCTGGTCACAAGAAAGCAACACAAAAAGGCAATCTAGAATTCCAGTGATGATCAGAATACAGGGTTTTAGTCTCAGCTGCTTGGGATGCTGGATTATTCTTTTTTTAAGATTTATTTTGATTTATATGTGTGCCTGTGTGTATATAGTTGTATGTAGGTCAGAAGAGGATGTCAGTTTCCTAGGAGCTGTTGTTAGAGGCAGTTGTGTGCTCTCCAACATGGGTGCCAGAAACTGAATTTGGGTCCTTTGAAAAGGCAGTATGTACTCTTTAACTGCTGAGTCATTTCTCTAACCCAAATTATTCTTTTTGAATAATTTTCCATGTATATATATAGATATATATATATATACACACATTTAGGTGTGTGTTAATCTGTAAAATGATTATAATTTGAAAATATTAATACATCTACCTGTTGATCTAGCAAATCCCTGTGGGATGAAATGGTAAAACTTTTTTTTTTTGCTTTCTGGAATATTTCATTAAACTTGAGAGAATTTATCAGACACTGATAAACTATTTAACTGTGTGTGGTGGTGCATGCCTATAATCCTAGGACTAGGGAGGCAAAGGTGGGAAGGTTGTGTAAGTTTGAGGCAAGCCTGGGCTACATAGTGAGTTTCAAGCTAGCCTGAACGCCATCGAGAGACCTTGTCAAAAACAAAACAAAACAGAATGATACCATCAAAACAACAAAAACAAACAAGGCTTGACTTGGCATTACTAGAATTTAAACCTTGGTAGTTTAGCTCCAAATTCTGTACCCTAAGCCATTTTAGTGTATGTAGTAAATTTCAGGTTTTCAACAACATCTTACAGTGATGTTTTATATGTCACAATGCAGAGCCAATGCCTTTGTAATGGGAACACAGATTTATACCCAGTGCTGACCCTTAATAGGGGCTAGGTGCTCTGTTTTGGTCTTTTTGTTGGTTCTCATGCTGGTCCTTATTCCCATCCATCTACTCATCCATCCATCTACTCCATCTTCCCAAGTGAAAGATATCACAGTACTGCCTGGCAGTGTTTAATTCATTCATACATCAAGTTCTCATTATGTGCCTCCTGCATGTCTGACACTGCAGGTAGTGTACTGTGGTGAGTAAAGCAGACAAGACCCTGCTCCTGTAGGCTCCCCAGCCAGATGGGTTACATAGGAAGTGTAACTGGAAAAAATTGGATTGGGTGTGAAGACTCTCTCACACTTAAGAAAAAAACTAGGAAGAAATCTTGTATATCAAATTTAGATTACCTGAAGCCAGGCGTGGTGGCCAAAAAAATTTTTTTTTTAGATTACCTAGTAAATAAATAAACACCTATTTAATAATTTTACTTAAATGGCTGTAAAAAAAAAAAAAGGAGCAGTATTGTTTATTACAGCCTTGGTCATAGTAATAAAATAGTGTATTCAGGCCCCGGCCCCACGCCTTT